TGTATGCTTATGAGCTGAAGAACATATACTGTTCAAATGTTCTTATTTCCCAAAGCTATCTACACATTTAATACAATTCCTATCATAATACCATCAGCATTTTTCACAGAGATAGGAGAAACACTTCCAAAATTTGTATGGGAACCATAAAAGACCCTGAATAGCCAAAGTAATCTGGAAAAAGAAAAGCAAAACTGGAGGCATCACAATTCCAGACTTCAAGATTTCTTACAAAGCTGTAGTCATCAAGACAACATGTACTGAGCACAAAAACAGAAACATACATCAATGGATCAAAATAGATAACCCAGAAATGGATCCACAGCTATATGGTCAACTAATCTTCAACAAAACAGGAAAGAATATCTAGTGGAAAAAAGTCTCTTCAAGAAGTGATGTTGGGAAAACTAGACAGCCACCTGCAGAAGAATGAAACAGGACCATTTTCTTACACCACACACAATAATGCACTTAAAATGGATGAAAGACCTAAATGCAAGACAGGAAACCACAAAAATCCTCGAGTAGAACACAGGTAGTAACCTATTTGACAACAGCCATAGCAACTTCCTACTAGATAGGTCTCTTGAGGGACAAGGGAAACAGGAGCATAATGAACTACTGGGACATCATCAAGACAACAATCTTCTACACAGCAAAGGAACAATCAACAAAACTAAAAGTCAATCTATGGAATGGGAGAAGATATCTGCAAAGGCTATCTGATTAAGGGTTAACACCCATAATATACAAAGAACTTAAATTCAACACCCAAAATTAAATAATCCAGGTTAAGAAATGGGCAGAAGACATGAACAGAGTTTGTCCAAAGACAACATTCAGATGGTAACAGACACATGAAAAATGCTCAGTATCGCTCATCGCCAGGCAAATACCTTTCAAAACTACAATGATACCACCTCACTCCAGTCAGAATGACTAAAATTAACAATACAGGAAACAAGAGATGTTGGCAAGGATACAGGGCAAGGGGAGCCCTCTCACAGTGTTGATAGGAATGCAAACTGGTGCAGCTACTCTGAAGAAGAGTATGGAGGTTCCTCAAATGTTAAAAGAAGTACCCTATGATCCAGCATTTGCAATACTCGGTATTGGCCCAAAGAATACCAAAATACAGATTTGAAGGGACACATGCAACCTGATGTTTATAGCCACATTATCAATAATAGCCAAATTATGAAGACAGCTCAAATGTCTATTGATTGATGAATGGATGAAGATATGATATATATGTACAATGGAATAGAACTCAATGAAGAATGAAGTCTTGCCATTTTCAATGACACGGGTGGAACTAGAGAGTAATTATAATGTCAAGCAAATTAAGTCAGAGGAAGTCCAATACCATATGATTTCACTCATATGTGCAATTAAAGAAACAAAACAGATGAACATATGGTAGGGGGGTGGGAAGGAAAGCCTCCTAACTACCAAGAATAAGCTTAGGGTTACTGGAGAAGGGTTAAGGGATAGGAAATGAATGGGTTAAGGGGGGGGGTGATAGGGATTAAGGAAGGCACTTGTAGTGATGAGCACTGGGTGTTACATGTAAGTGATGAATCATTAAATTCTACACCTGAAACTAATATTACACTGTATGTTAACTGGAATTTAAATAAAAACTTGAATAAAATAAAAATAAGATCAGCCTAACAGAAGAGGCAATTAACTTTAAAGGGATACAGTTAGACTGGTAAAGAATACTATTATACTGGTCAAGAGATTTCTCACAAGCCAAAATAACGCCAGTACACAATGATATATTTTCAAAGTACTGGGGAAGAAAAAATAGTTATCAACTTAGAAATTTGTATCATAGAAAGTGATCATCAAGTGCTATGCAGAAATAACCCTGAAAGTCTTTACCTGCTAGCTCTATTGAAGTCCTGCCCCCTCCATGGAATTCAGAAATGAAACTTATAGAGGTAAAATATCCAGGGTCCTGATGACAGTTCTGAGCTCCTGTATGCAAATAACTCAATTGTCAACCTTAACTTGGGACATCTTACTACTTTGAGGTAATCTATCTTCAATGTGAGAATGTTTTTAAACCATGAAGTTAAAATTTCTGTTTCCTTTAACATGTATGCCCTCCAAGGGGCTTACTCAGTATCTACCTTATCCAGGAAAGGATTTATCTGAAAGGGGCCTTTGGGTAAGGCAAATTAAGAGCTAAGAGAACAAAAAACCCATTAAGAATCTATACAACAAAAAATAAAATAAAATAATAAAATAATAATCTATACAACATAATTTAAGAGAACAAAAGAGAATTAGTTCATAAGAATTCATGGAAAATACGTGGTTTAGTGGCTTTAAGGTTAATCTTCACTATTTTCTTGCCTATCTTTCAGACCAGTTGTCTTCAATTTAACGCCCAGAGATTAAGAAGGGGTCATTACTTTCCACTAGTACAGGAACTTTACTAGTTCAAATTTCCACTTACATTTTTATGATTAGAATTTACAACAGTGTGATAATGTTGGCATGAAGTAGTACCTGGATTACCTAAGGCTGTTAGGTAACTATCCTACACTTTATAATTTAGGATAACCAGGAGATTCAGTTTAAGACTATATATTGTTTAGAGCCAATCCTTCTAGAATAGCCTAATGTAGCCTTCCATTGCGTTTGAGCAATTTTACAACTTTCGGAAGTTACATGTACCTGACAGCAATGCAAAAATAATTCTTGCCTGTCAAGATGCAAATAAACTCTACAAGGTGGAGGTTTGATACCTCTCACATAGGAGAGGAAAACAAACAGTTTTGCCTGTGTGAATTCATTTCAGTATTGCTCTATTTCACTAAAATTTGTGCCTCTCTGGATTGTAACATGTGCCTGGTTCCTTCAATATGTTAAGGATTTCACATATCTGTATGAAACTCATTTTCTGCTTTCTTGAAAATCATTCCCTATGACATTTCTACAAGACACCAGAAGCTTCAAAATAAACTGTGAAAATTCCACTTAAAACTAGCTTTTCAATGCAAAGTTGAGATTTCATTAAAATATTATGTAGAATTTAATCATGTTCCATAAAAGTTATTCTGATTAACATTAATTATTAAGACTGTCAAGGAATTCCAATCTGCTGCAACAAGTCATTAATTGCTATTCACGTTAATGTTTTACTTAGTCACCTGTTAAACTAGGATATCTTGGCTTATTATAACTGCAGCAGTAACAGTCCTCTTAGTTTCAGACCTACCACCAAAAGTATCACTTGGTGCACCGTCTTAGAAATAAGATATAAAAAAAAAAAAAAAAAGGACCAAAAATTCCAAACGTGTAATTTCTATAGTCAGCTTGATTATCTATGTTACCTTTTGGAAAAATATCAAAGACCTCTAATTATACTCACTGGGAACCCTAATTTTTAAATTATCTGCCCCAAATATCTAGTCCTCCCTAGGAACTTCTTCAAATTTGTCAAGTTTCACTTTAATTCCTGAAAGTTCTAAATCCTGTGCTCTTTCATTCCTCCTCATGCTACTTCTAACTGGCTACCTCTACTGCAGCTGAGAAGTCTGGACAATAGGAAGGGGTTAAAGAAGTATGGGAGCCCTGGTCAAGTTTTTAGGTTAGCCAACTTACCTCTATCACAATTTTCACTCCATCAATATATCTTTTTTAAGATATATGAAAGAAAAATGTTTTGTTTGATTTGTGGAATTCTTTTACAGCTTTAAAAACAATTGATGTTTAAGGAAGAGGAACAATTGATGTTTAAGGAAGGAGGGTGTTAAGGTGCAACAATTTCCTGACAAAGAGATTACAGTTACATACAGGTAACTGAAGAGAAATCACATGAGATCTTTTCCAGATGGGTTTTTTTAACTCACCACCCACATGGCAAAGAAGGCTTAGAGGACTCCTTCCATATCCCTACAATCCTAGGTGCTGTAATTCTTAATACCTTTTCATTTTTAAGTAGTTCGAACTCTGAGTAGTTAACATCTAATATCCAACCCTAAAAATAGCGCAAGTACAAGGAAAAGGGACTCAAAGAGGTTGTCCAAGTTACATATGTATCACTAATTTAAAAACCTGAGAACTAGGCCTATGCATGTCCCCCTCCACAACCTATTGCTATTATGCTATACAAAGGATGTATAGCGACTTTCACTCAGTCTCACGTTTTATCTATAAATCTATTATGTTATTTTTAGGATTTTATCAGTAATCTAAGAACAGAACAAAGATATTCTAAAGACTACAATATGTCTTTTGTTATCCTTTGTTCTTCCGGTTAATTAGAACACAGAATTCTGCGTCATCTTAAAACATTTTACTCTAAGAGTATGAAAAGCTTACTTGGCTATTTGCGCTGAAAAGCAAACCATCTTCAAAAAGTCAAAACACAATTTGGGTGTGATGACCCAGATTTCTGATAATTATGCACATCCCTTACTTCAGAGTTCTCTTACGTATCTCTAGTAAAGTGCACAATGCTTCTCTGAATGTACCCATCAGGGTACATTCAGAGCCATATTCTGAAGATAGTACATTCTCCTCCAAAAAGCTCATGTTATGTTGAGGGACTACAAATATAAACTCTAATATAGTCTCATGATACAATACTTGAGGCTTCCTAAAAAAATTTAGTGTCACGTCTTTTACTCATCATGCCCGTTGTAAACTGACATTCCACGAAGATTTCATCAACATCCAGGAAGTGAACATTTGCTATAGCATTTGTGTCTTCTATCCATTTTCAGAAGTATAGCCACTTGGGATTCCTGGGTGGCACAGCAGTTTGGCGCCTGCCTTTGGCCCAGGGCGCAATCCTGGAGACCCAGAATCGAATCCCACATCGGGCTCCCGGTGCATGGAGCCTGCTTCTCCCTCTGCCTATGACTCTGCCATTCTCTCTCTCTCTCTCTCTCTCTCTCTCTCTCTCTCTCTCTCTCTGTGACTATCATAAATAAATAAATTTTAAAAAAAAATTAAAAAAAAAAAGAAGTATAGCCACTTACCCCATGTTCCTTAGCTGCTGTGACAACTTTAAGAAGAACATCTTCCTCAACAAAGGGTCTCACAGCATCATGAATTATCACAACTTCTGGCTTAGAGAGCTTAGAGTCAGGCTGGTCTTCTGCTAGGGCTTTTAGTCCGTTGAAAATTGACCTGTGGCGGGTCACTCCAGCTGTAACCAGGGAGATGCGCTGATGCTGGTACTTCTGAATGATACCCTTCATTGCTTCCATATTCTCTCCAGTGACTGCCACAACAATGTCCTTTATCCAACATATGCTGAAAGAGAAGTATACACTGAACATAAATTGGGCCTTACACAATTTAAGCTAGTACCAAACTGTATTAGGAAGTCCTACTTTTAACTTCTCAGGGATGTTGAAAACTGAAACTTAAAGTAAATCAGTCTTATGAATTTTATCAGGTCTTGTAAAGAGGTTGATAATCAATGAATATTTCATATCCTACATAGTAACAGATATAATGTTTTATAGTCCACAGTGAGATTACGTCTAGATATTGTACAATAGATAATCTAATTCAAACTAAGTTACTCAGGGATCTATCAGGACACTGAGAAAAAATAATGCAGTAATAGGCCTTTAAATGGATTTCTTCTGGGCAGCCCTGCCTGGTGGCTCAGCGGTTTAGCACCACCTTCAGCCCAGGGCGTGATCCTGGAGTCCCGGGATCAAGTCCCACATCAGGCTCCCTGCATGGAGCCTGCTTCTCCCTCTGCCTGTGTCTCTGTCCCAATCTTTCTCTTTCTGTGTGCCTCTCATGAATAAATAAAATCTTTAAAAAAAATTGATTTCTTCAAAATAATTTGTTCAACAGAGTACAAACAATTCGAAGCAGTTTTGAATACCAAAAGTTCTCTCTCAAGAAATCCAATGAATTGCTTAAAAAAAAAAAAAAACAAACACACACACACCCACCTGGGTCACTTATCTAACATAAACTGTGCCTACATCAAAGTGAAACATAGCTTCAATAGGTCAATGAATATTGTATAAATTTATAAGTAAGGCTCAAAATATAATGATAAACCTTACAAAATTAAAGAATTAACCTACTGAGTCATACATAGTATTGAGCAATTTTTCTGTTGTAAAACGTTTTCCTAAAGACTTACTGAGCTATTGCTTTGCACAGTTCACACCACTGAGTGGCAACTGCATTAAATCTTGGTAGACTTCTCTTGAACACCAGTGCTAACAGAGCTTAATGTCATTAAATTCTATGTTCCACAGCCAACAGGCCCAAACCAGGCAAACTGCCTCTAACCCATGCTATCAACTCTAAATAAAGGTCACTTTAAAATTTAAAGGAAAAAAAAAATAAAGGAAAAAAATAAAATAAAATTTAAAGGAACTCAAAAAAAAATTTTTTTAGAACTCTTAGCCCATGAGATACTCCATGTTCATGTTAGATCAAGTCTTATGCATTTTTACAGACATGGAAAAGTCTGAAAATTACTTAGTGAAATTTACTTTGTTAATATGAACATTCAGTTGATTTACTCAATTGTTAATCACCAATCTTCTGTTATTGAACCAACCCTTTCCATGATCCAAAACCCCATTCTGCCTGTGGCTACAACAACAGTACACAGATGAACACTAAGAGCTACTTTATAAGCACATGGTCTTTTCATTTTAAGTCCATTCCTTTACTAAGTGTTTATTGCATATTGAATAAATGATCATCATTGAGTACACAATGAAAATAAGTACTGCCTTTGCAGAGCTTCCAGATCAAAGAACACCGAGGAACAAGTTCAAGCTGTAATCAAGTGCTATGAAGAAATCCAGGCTCCAGGATTGCAAACAAGTTGATTATTTGACCGGCAAAGGGAAGGCCAAGATGATACTCCTTAAGGACACAAAATTTGCTATAGGATCCAGATGATGAGTGGGAGGGGGGGAAAGGGCAGCGGGGTATGAAGGGCCGGTGTAAGCCAAGGCCATCACAAGGTCCTGAGGGCCAGAGGACAAGGGGAGAAGAGCCTATGTAGTGGCCGGAGGTCCAGGCAAGAGCCAAACTGGGCTAAAAAAAGCTTTGCACAGAGACATTTACACCAAAAAAAATAATAATAATAATAAAAAAGAAATGCTCACCTACTCAAATGTTCTAGGCATTGTTTTAGGAGACTGAAGCCCCTAAAAAAGGACCACTTCCTATTCCCCAAACCTGTAAAGGTCTAACCCCACATGCAGAAGGAACTTTAGAGAAATGATTAAGTTAAGGATCTTGAGCTAGAAGAATCATTCTGGACTCTCTGGGTAGGTCTAAGACAATTACAGGAGTCCTTACAAATGAACAAAAGGCAGAAGAGTCAAAGCAGGAGAGGAGTTAACAGAAGCAGTGGTCAATGTGATACAGGAGCTCAAGTTCAGGAATCCGAGTGACCTTCAGAAACTAGAAAATGGCAAGTAAACATACTGTCTCTAGAGCTTCCATAATGAATGTAGCATTGCCAACACCTTTTTATTTTAGCCCAGTGAAACCTATTTCAAACTTCTGACTTCCAGAAGTTTAAGGTAATAAATTCATGTTGCTTTAAGCTACTCGGTTGATAGACTTTTTTTTTTTAATAGCATTAGTAAACTAATTTCGAAACATCAATTTTACTCTTGTTGCAAGGTGGAGAAGTGATTTAGTAGAGAGAGAGGATGCAGATAGACCAGATAGGAGGAAGCTGCTGCTGCTGCATTCTGGGCAATACAGTCATTGTAGCCTGGCTACCAAATGGAGCTTGTAGGTGGCATTTAAGAGATAAATCAGAGGTAATAACCTAGTAAGATGGGGGGAAAAAATCAATTATGACAGAATATAAAATAGCTCTAACAATCGATTAAGCATTTGCAATGGGTTAAGCCTTAGTCATGCTCTAAACTCCTGTAATCCCCCTGCGCCACTGTCTCTTAAGTGCTAAACAATTAAGATGTGATATATACATCATACTTAGTTTTCCTACACTACCATCTTAGACCACAATGCACTCCAAGTAGTTTTACCATCCTTCATCAAAAGAAGACATTCCATCTTCTTGAAGATAGGTTCCATGATAGCAGGGACAATGTCTGTTTTGCCCACTGCTTTTCACCTAGTACCTAATCAACACCAATTTGCTGAGTAAACAACCTTGGTCAGTCTTCTCTACCTCTAACAGTGTAATAACATCTGACAACACAGCCTTGTCTCAAGGGTTATGAAAACACAAGAAGCTCTTCATTAACCTGTTTAGCTATAAAAACTCAGTTATGAGTAGAACCTTCCCTATACAATGTGGTTTGGAGTCATTTGACTCCGTACTTTCATTTCTAGAACTTTAGGCTGCTGGAGGACTGGCATTACTTATGGTTTGTTAGACACTAGGGGTAGTTTTAAACACGAATAAGACAATGCAGAGATATTCACAGAATATCTGAGGAAAAGATATGCACTATTAAATGCAGGCAATAAAAAGCATTAGGGAATAAGACTCAATATGGGATGCTCTTGGTTTTATATCCCATCCATCCCCCATTCCTTTCATTGCAAAGGTAATTGATCACAGCATACTTAGCAGTGTAGAGTTTACACTCAAAGCCTCCCTGCAAGCAACAAGTGACAGTTTGTGTCCCCTAAATGCCAAGCTTCCCAAGGTTCTGTCTTCACTGACACAGCTGTGACCAAGGCACTCATCTCCTCCATTATTTATTGCACCATCCTCTTAGCTGGTCTCCTTCTCATCGTATTCCAGCACAATCCATTCTCACCACTTCTGAAGGATTTTTCTCACACGCAAACCTAAGGTCAGCCCGTGCTAGTTCTTGAGCTGGGCGCTTCGAGACCTGACGAAGCCCACTTGTCCCTAGACCACTTAAGTTCTTCCACGCCACTCTCACTCTACTGAGGGCATCTTCCCACACACCCAGGTCTTCACTTCTGCTACTCTGCTTCCCAACCCACCTATCATCTATCCTGGGTAGGGGGGAAAGTAGGAGACAGTCCTCCTTGCTCAGTTGTTGGTTCAGATACAGCTTACCCCGTGAAACTTTACTAGATATTCTAGGGGCAGCATCCCCATTCTGCACTTGCAGAGTTCTCTTATTGCTACAGACTTATCATCATACTACATGGTCCTCCTTTTCTATCACCCTCACTAAGCTGCCAACTCATAGAAGGCTACGCCTATACCTCAGAGCTTGGCACATTCTAAACCAAGTAGTATTAGCATTATTAACAGCAAAGAAGATTGATGGTTTGCTAGGTGACACATATTTAATGCTTGCCTGCAAGATCTCCCATCAGATTGTATGACATCACTATTTTCAGTGCTTTATAGCTGACATGGAAGCAATGAACTGCCCATGAGATCACACTTAGAAAATGAAAGGATGTGATTTTCAAACACATAGTTACCCTCTGCAAATGTACTAAGTCTCTGAGAAAGATGTGGTAAAATCTAGAAGCAAGAGGAGCATGTCCATATCCACTGTGTCTCCAGAACCTCATTTATCTTACTAGTGATGAACCATATAATACTGCTGCATTTGTGGTCAAAATGTCAAGCTTCCTGTAATTTATAATTCAAGCAAAAATAAACATCTAATATTTTCCAGGCAGTATGCTAGACATTTGTGATATAATAATGAACCAAAACTGGCATAATTCCTGACCTCACAGACCATATGCTAATATCTTAAATGAATACATGAATTGAGAAGACTTAAATAATTAGACAGGGATAAATTATTAGTTTAAGTGTTTAAGCCTTTTCTCCAGTCATGGATTCATTTAATATATTTGACATAATGGCCTGTGATTCATTTGAGTGTGAAGAATTTTTTTTTTAAGATTGTATTTATTTATTCATGAAAGACACAGAGGGAGGCAGAGGGAGAAGCAGGCTCCATGCAGGGAGCCCAATGTGGGACTCGATCCCAGGACCACAGAATCATACCCTGAGCTGAAGGCAGATGTTCAATCACTGAGCCACCCAGGCATCCCGAGTGTGAAGAATTATTAACAGTGATCAAATATACTTCAGTTTGTTGATATTACATTATACCAAAGTTTTGGATTTCTTTTTTTTGAGAAACTTTAAGTACATGCTCAACTAAATCAGTAGAGAGGACTCTTCTATAGTCAAGAGTTTTTTTTTAATTTTTATTTATTTATGATAGTCACACACAGAGAGAGAGAGAGAGAGAGAGAGAGAGGCAGAGACACAGGCAGAGGGAGAAGCAGGTTCCATGCACCGGAAGCCCAACGTGGGACTCGATCCCGGG